TCATTTTACATACATATAAATGGTCACATATGGTATTTACATAATGAACTTAATGATCGATTTAAATTTGCAGGCTGACGTTGAATCTGAAAAATGGTCACGAATACATATGCCAACAAACAGGTATTCTACAATGACATCAAACATTGTGGAATCGGTCAACGCGGTCACAAAGGCAGCCAAAAATTACCCTATTGTTTCTTTCCTAGAGTCATTACGGCAAACCATACAATCGTGGTTTGTAGACACAGGGATGATGCACATGGAACTACAAAGTTGTCGAGCAAATACGAGAAAGAGATTACGAAAATGAGCATGGATTTGAAAAACTTGAGGATAATTTTTTTATATTTTAACATTGAGATGTATATGTGACCCAATGTAAGTGTCAGTATCTTGAACTATAATGTATCAAATCTAATGTGACCTGTTTTGTGATTCTGTGACCTAGTTGGTAAACTAAGTTTGAAGCTTCGAATTCTGTTTCATAGCTATCTGTGAATGGAACAAATTTGTGAATGCAAGCTGATATATATATGTGTGTGTGACCTACGTGATGTGGTATGTGATGTCTGTCAAATCTGTATTCTGATGCATGTCTATCTGGCAAATGAGGTATGGACCGTATATGTAACATGCTTCCTGAATCTGTAAATGACTCAGGACTATGAGTCATTCATGCATGACCGACACGTTGGAGTATATGTGACCTATATTCAACTACATATGACCTGACTGTTGTTATATGCACACAGGTTTCTCCCTCAAACCAGACAGTGTTTTCTGTCAGCAACGAAAGGTGGACGTTTGTCGTCGATATTGAGCAACGAACATGCACTTGCAGGATTCTACAAGTTGATTTGTTATCGTGTTCACACGCTTTGGCTGTAATTGCAAACACACGAAGAGATCCATATGATTACTATTCCTATTATTACACAAGAGATGCGTACTTGGAATGCATACCAAGATTCTGTATATCCAGTTGGAAATCAAGAGGAATGGACAGTCCCAGAAGAAGTACAGCGAGAAATAGTGTTACCTCCTAACCAAAAGAGGAGTTGTGGAAGACCTACGGAGAAAAGAAAGAGATCATCCAGAGAAGGGAGACTGACGACAAAATGCGGATGTTGTGGAGGATAGGGTCACAACCGTAGGAGATGCTCCAACTTAGCTCCATTACGCTAAAATGACCAATAGAATTACATACAAATATTTCATAGATAGATGATATTCTTTTAAGGATAATGTTCATTTTAAATAGTCTCTTTAAATAATGCATTCAGATTGATCAACTTACAGTTAATTGTCTATCAACTTTGGAGTCAGAATAATAATTCTCTGAGATTTGGACCATATTTGTAACCTGATACCAAATCTGTGACTTGTGTGCTGTGACCAATAATGTTTGACATGCCGTATGAAAAAGTTGCCTGATTTGTTAATATATAATTTGAAATGAAAATATGTAACCTGAAGTGAGGACACATACCATATGTAACTTGAAATGAGAGTATGTGACCTCAAGTGTGGACACATACCATATGTAACCTGAAATGAGAATATGTGACTTGCAGTGTCGACACATTCAGTTACATAAATCAGAATATATGTAACCCATGTGCTATGACATGTGAAGTGTCGTATGAAAGGTATGTGTGACGTGATATGTAAATCTGTGACCAAGTTCAGAATCCAAATGTGACCTGTCTATTGTACCATAAGACGTGTTTCACCAACTACGTGTCGCTATTAGAAATAAAGAATCTGTTTAATTTTCACAATTTATATAAAAAATAGCGTTAAAATATAATCAAAGACGGATAAATCATGAACCTAAACATGTTAATATCCTTTAATGCAAATCGAAGGTTACGAGTTAAAATTCATTACATGAAACTCTATTGACCAGACACGTGCAATGTTCATAACATTTACAAACTAAATCATTTTCTTCACTAACAAATCTAAAGCCACTTTTCATTCTATAACAACCGCTTCCCCCCGTCATATGCTGATTCACTTTCTTTGTGTAAACCTGTCGATGTTTGTAGAGCAACGTAGCAATATCCATTCTGAACTTGCTGGCATCAAACTTCTAGGGAATGGAACATCTACCACCAAAGATAAGATACGACGCATTTAACACCACGAATATCCCGCAATCATGACTGCAGAACATATGACAGACTGTTATGAATGAATCCATCAAAAGGATATACGCAATGTAAATATTGGTCACAGACTTACCCATTTGTTTGCTGCGGAAATGTGTCATCAATGATCACTTTCAATTCTTTGGCTTCTGGCTCGTGATAATCAGGACCCTTCTTTGAAATTCCCAGGGTATTCATTAGAGCAGGCAATACCTTCACGTACGGCTCAATACCTTCCAAAACCATCCATCGACGATAAGATTTACCTGTCGAGTTGAACACAGTCAAGGTATGACTTCTAAATTGTAACCGGCCAAGCATCCAATGTGCTTTGTTAATGGGTATGATCGGTATGAACACAAAGTCGACGTCAGCCCAGGGTGAGCTAAAAGGGAGGCTGTGACCTGTTGCAACCTCAAGCAGGCTTAACTCCGACAGCAGAACGTTTGGGTCTTTCATGAAGGTAGGAAAAATGTCTTTTATTTTCATCTGGAACCATGAGTTTGTAGTAGTTGCTCTACATTTCACATTTTTGTCAAGTTTTGCTATCTGGCGAATGAAGTAGAAGCAGACATCCATGTGCTGTTTAAATGAGAAGAAAAGATGTAAGCATTGCGTACTCCCAGACTGGATACGAATATAAAATGTGACATGTTTGTATCAAATGTGACTCTGTGACTAGTTACAATACGAAATGTGACCTGTTTGTATCATCTCTGATACTCTTCTTAACGAGTACGAAAGAAATTAGAAATCTAAAAAAAGTAATCTAACTTAATTCAGTGGGTAAACGTAATCGTACCGCACCACTCAATGATGACTCAGAATTTATAAGCTCATGAAACCAGGTCTTTTGACCTACTGGGAATAAACCAATTAGAAAAGCAGGCTTGATGGCGTCATCATCCTCGCTAAACTTTTTCCTGTGACCGACAATAAAGATTACATGTGTTTTGTCAAATTGTGTATTCAGTAAATTTTGACAGATAGGTACGAAATGTACTTACTTGTTTTTTAGTTTGTGCCTCCTCTGGAACCAACCCATGAAGGCCGATTTGTCAACCTCGTCGACATTGTCTCCGTAACCCTCGAAAATGACAACATTATCATCGTGTTTGAATAATTTTCCTCTCTCTTGTCGGGCAACAAAAGGAGACTGCAATACCCTCGATGGCCTTAAAACCCGCTTAACTAGTAATCCTAAGGTTGGTTCAGCAGTAGGTGATCCCTATATATTATTGCAGTAGGTTACAAAACAGATTGAAAATACGGCATATGAGCTGTCTGTGGCTTAGTTTGTATGTGTTCTGTCACCTATACATGTGACCTGGTGTAAATGTGTCTGTGATATGTGACATATGATTGGAAGATAGTTTGGAAGGGTGTGTGGCCTGTGACCCATAAATAAAACGTGGTTTGGAATGTATGTTATCTGTGACCTATGAATAGGACATGGGATGAAGGAATCTGTGATCTGTTATCTAACAAAGTGACATTATTCGGAACTGTGTTTAATCTGTGACCTATGAATGGGATATGGTTTGAAGGTATCTGTGCTCTGCAATCCATGACTGGAACATGTGTTGGTATTGTGTATGATCTGTGACCTATGAAAGCGACTTTGTTTGGAATGTCAGTGAATATAACCTATGAATAGGACATGATCTGAAGTGTGTGTGATCTGTGACCAAATAATATAACATGGTTTGGAGGTATGTTTGATTTGAGATCTACAACTACTGGAACATGTAAATACGTCATTCTCTACAGTCTTTGTTGCGGTCACCACATCAGATATGATGGAATCTACCCTCTTCTGAGTTTCCTTCGAATGCAAAACATTGGGTAGGATGAATTCAATCCCCAAATCAAATGATGGTGGCTCAAGGGAGAAGAGAATATCATCACTTGAGTCCATTTTGCCCTTCCCTTTTCTGTGACGTTTGATACTACGTTTTTCACCTACATGTTGTATGGAAAATGTCAAAATGAACTATGTTATTTTATAGAAATGTAAAATATATCGAGTGACTACCTCCTGAGCCTTTTCAGATCCACTAGCCCCATAATGTTCTTGATCTCTAGCTTCAGGAGCTTCTTTTTGTCCTACTCCATGCTCGCTTGTCCTGTCACTAGACCGTCTAATGATCTCTCCATTGCACTGGATATCATTGTTGACACAGACTCAGATAGAAACTGCATGTTTGTCCGAATATCCATTAGGTCATTTCTAACACAGGCTTGCATTTGAATAATGTCATCCATTTTGTTAGTCTTCCCTTCGTTCAAAGATGACATATGTGACTTGATGTCTTCAAACTCCATCTTCAACACTTTATTATCCGCCTGGAGTTCGGATACTTGCACACGCAGCACCTCAAAAGCCTGACAAAAATGAATAACTAATATTATATGTTGCTTGCGACATATCTGTGACCAACCATCAACATACAATGCACAGTGGTCTATCTGTGATCTGATGTGTATGAAATGTGACATAAGAAATATTGAAGTGTGACCAATGATGGAAATATTGAGAGCTGACTAAAATAACAACTTACATCATCCCTTTGTGCCCCATGAGATTGTGGCTCCTTTTGAGAATGATGAGCGGCTGTAGGACCTTCAACAATCGGGGATTTTCCACGAGCAGATGGGTCCTGCCATCTTGGAGGAGGAGCAACAAAATCGTCATCATTATCTGAAGAGTGAGCTTGTCCAATATTACTATCCATCAAAGGTAGGACTAATGGAACCGACTTCCCGCTCGTACCGACATCTT